AGAGAGAGAGAGAGAGAGAGAGAGAGAGAGAGAGAGAGAGAGCAGCAGTGTATCAACACAGTCAACAACACTACACAGGTGAGTCTCAAAACACCCCCGACCCCCACCCCCTTAACCCCAACCCCCCAACCCCCCGATCCCCCCACCCAGACTCATTTCTCCCGTTTTCCCCTCATTTCCTTGCGAGCGAAGCCGCAACAGGTACCCTTGTGATGAATTAAACACTCAGTACGTCGCCCAGGCAACCTTGTGAATCAAAGTTGCGCCAATCCCGGTTCTTCTTTGGATGAAGAGTCCTACTGGACAGCCAAAAAAAGAAAAAAGTGCGCAGCTGGTGGCTCTTTTTTCTTTGGTGCGTAGTGCAAACCCGTGTCGGAAGAAGAGGCTCGCAGGTACTGGTGCTTCAAGGGCTGCATGTGGTAGTGTGTGTGATTTGAAAAAGAGGAAAGGTGGAAGAATCGCCTGAGCGGGGGAGCTTATGTGGAAATAGCCTGCTTAGGTTGGTGGGAAAGGAAAACAACTCAGCAGTTATGCACTTTCCCTTTTGCAGAAGCGTGTGCATTATCTGCACTTGTGCACCAGCACTGTCTTCATACATTCTGAACTGGCTATTTTTTTCTCTTGTCAAGCTGGGTGGGTTTGTTTGGCGTTCACCCTTTTTTTTCAACCCTAATGGAGCGTATGTGGTGCCATTCGGTATTTGAGCCAGGACTTCCCTACCTAGGCCATTGTTTTTCGCACAGAACAGCCCTTCGTCTTCACTCTGAGCTGGTGGCCCGAGCCCAAATTGTCGGGCACCTTGTCATACTAGGTCTATCTGTGCACATCACGCGGTTGGCCATGGTGGAGCATGCATTATTGGTACAGTGGATGGCTAGGGTGTCATTGGATTGCTGTACTGGCACCTCGCAATATAGGACGGCTAGGTCCGTCGGGATTCTTGTTGGTTCGTGATTAATTCTGTATAATACAAGTTGGATATCCATTAAGAAAGAAACCTTGGACTGCGAACTTGAAGAACCACGGATGTCAATGCAGAGAGGATTTTCACTCAACAGGGGACATTTAATGTGCCGTCTAGCTTTTGCGGTGTGTCACCCCGGTCTAAGTTGGGCTATGTTAGTCATTAATGTGAAACCATGTTTAACACAGCGCCATTCTGGTGTGCATCGTGGTTGTGTTTGTGATTGCCAGTCGGTCGCCCCCACGGAGGTACAGGAGCAGATCACCGGACTATGGGCCTTACCCTCGTCGGTGAGTTTTTTTTCTTTTTTTCTTGTTTTCTTTTTTTTTGAAAACAAATGCTCCAGTCTATTCGTGGGGAGCAGCACGTGCTGGGAACCGGGCCCAGCGTCAGCTCTAGTCAAAGTATCATCTAAAGCTCTTGATGTTTCATCTCTGTCTTGTTTTGTTCCCTTTAAATGCTATTGGATTGCGAAGTAGGTTTGCGTGTGCTCACTTTCACGATGAAAAACGCTATTGGATTGCGAAGTAGGTTTGTGTGTGCTTGCTTTCATGATGCGTCGCTTTTCATTCGCTGCTCCAAATTTGATTTCTGGCATTATGCACAGGATTTTCGGACCATGCCGGATTCAATGTGTGATGTTCATACATCACAGCCTTGATAGAAGAATTCAAAAACTCGCTTCTCATCGTGTGCCTGATAACTTCTGAAAATTGCGGCCTTCAAGGCACCAGATTACCCATGCCAAAATCCAACAAACAGGCAGCCACATGATGGAAGTATATTGACAGCCACAAGCAGCTATGAGTGGGACTGTGCTTTTTTCCGTGATGACCGGCGTTTTGTGGCCACTCTGGAGTCGGAACTAATTTCTGGCATTATGCACCTGAGGGCTGAGTCATGCAGGAATCAGTCTGATGTTCCTACATCACCAAGCTTGATAGAAGACTTCAAAAACTTTTCTGATCATCTCTATAATATAAAAATCACTAATGTTACATACTTAGTCTTTGGATCTGGGCCACCATCCTCGGCCGTACTGGCCATGGCCGGAGCATCAGAACTATTCAAAAAAATCTTGATGAAATGGCACAGGTGAGAAATCATGGCTTTTGGCGTATGGCATCTAGATCAGCTGGTGGAGCACCGGTGAGAGATGCGTATTGTGGTATGAGGTTGGGGGTTCAAAATTCAAATGTTTGAGCCTACGATTTCGGACATGAAAAAGGAGGGCATTCTCTGACACACCACTCGCACACTGGGGTTGCTACGGGCCTATTGCCCCCAGCATCGGGGCGTCCAGGCATGGTCGTCTTTAGCGTAGTGTAGTGGAGACAATGGCTATACATGATAGGCTAAGTGGTTCAAGGTGTCTCGAACGTGGGACTTAGGGGGCGAGGTGTCTCGAACGTCTTAGGGACCTTCCGTGTGAGTGGTGATACTCCTTGGGGGGGAATTAGGGACTTCTTGGGGGGTCATGGCTGGTGCTGTGGCCTGCCAGTAGTGGACACATGAAGATGACTTAGTGTGTACAGGTCGTGATAAGAGAAGGGACAATACGATGTACCTGTGGGTATGTGTAGGGGTGGCTAAGAAGTACTAAGAACCGTTTATTGTGAAAGACCCTTAAAAGGGCAGAAGCAAGACCCTAACGGGGTGTTGAAAGACCCTTACAGGGCCAGTTGGAAGTCCCCGACTGAGGCAATGAGCCGGTGTGGCCAACCCGCTCCCTTAGGAAGGTCTGGTCCTAAGAGAGGGGGATGTTGGGCTTCATGACATAGTGTCAAAGGGAGCCCCGCTTGGGGAGACAACACACAGGCGTATGTGTTCCTATATATATAGAACGATAGACGCCCAGGACTAGTGCATCTAGACTCCACTGCTCACCGAGCCAAGGGGCCTCGCCAGTGTAATGATTCTGGGGGGGTTGGGCCGGACAGACTGGGTAAGCAGACTTCGTCTCCCGCCTTGGGACGGCGATCCTCAACTGAGCGCACTCAACAGGGGTCTGAAAGCGGGGGTGAAAGTCTCTAAGGAGTCGCGTGTGTATACAGAAAGGTGTTAGGGAGTCGCGATGACCAGTCACCCCCACGCTGGCTGTGCCATAAAAAGCCTGATCCTGCCACCCACAACCCCTTCCCCCCAAAAAGAAAGAAATCGTGTCATTTTACCTGGCGCCACCAGCTTGTTCAATTCGGTAGGCCGAACCCCGAACGGCATGGTGTGTTAACCGCCGCTCGGAACAGAATAGTGGGCAACGCGCTGATGGGGTTTTCAATCCTTTGCAGACACCTAGTCTGCAAAGGATTGAAAACCCCATCAGCGCGTTGCCCACTATTCTGTTCCGAGCGGCGGTTAACACACCATGCCGTTCGGGGTTCGGCCTACCGAGCAGCGGTTAACACACTGGCAAAAGATTGAAACTACTCTGGCACAAGTGCTCTTACCTTGATGTGTTGCCTTACCTTGACTAGGAAGCCTGCAAGCCCGCCTTAGCCGAGTAGTTTCTCCTGTCCGAGGAAGTTCTTTGTATGTCTGCAGACGTGTCCGGCATGCTAGCGTGCTCGCAGCTGAGGTGCCCCCCTGACAGGTGGAACATATCAATGTTGCAGTCAGTGGAATACCAGTTTAGACAGTGGGGCATTCATCTGGTGGGCATGCTCAACTCAGTCATCGGGAGGATCGCGCGTTGGTTGTTCGACGGTTGTGTCTGCTGGGGAAAATGTTTTGGTGCAAGCTAATTGACATATAATTCAGAGTGTTAGGAATCATTGGCAGTTCAATGCATGTCCCACACACGTTGACCTTGCATTGCATCTTATTCACAACCCTTAAGATTTTCATGCCTAATCATTTCGTGTCGTCTGTTCTTGCTGTTCTGACATTTTTATTCCTCAGGCCAACATCCCCAAGAAGGTTGAGCGAATCGCCTGACTACGCGCCGTACTCACGTCGATGAGCTCAGCAGAAGGCATCGCTTCTGTGTCAACATTCTGCGCTTGCTGCAATGTTTGAGTACTTAGGGAGGGGGCATTTAAACAGGTGTACGAACTTTGTTGTGGCCTTCACTTCTTTCTTCCCAGCCGAAGGCCCTGACATCTATGCATGCTTCATGCTGGTCCAAAGTGTTCTTTAGTTTGATGTCAGGGGCCGAGGAGGTATCATGATGGAATCTTATCGCTAGGCGGCCTTCTGATAATCAGTGCTCTTGTCCTCCGGAGCGGAGATGAAGCAGGAAGTGTTCTTCTGCTGCTGCCATGTGAAGTCAAACTCTCGTGACTTGAAAGGGAACACAGTTCAATATACAGAATAAGGAATTATGTTTGTCTGAAGATGTCTGCACCTAAAGGGACCGTGTTTGCTGTGGTTGCTCTGTTATTCTGAAAAGGATTCCATGATTGCGGCCACGTCTGGCTTTATTGTTTTTTGGTCAGCCGCGGGTTAAGGTCTTGGGTATGAAGTTGTACAGGTTATTACTTTTGGCCATGTTAGGCACATACCCATGTTGACATCCTGCTTGAGAAACACATTTATGCATCCTTGGGCTTCCACATGCATGTGTTTTTATGGCATCTCTCTCTCTCTCTCTCTCTCTCTCTCTCTCTCTCTCTCTCTCTCTCTCTCTCTCTCTCTCTCT